GGCGAGATATTGTAACCGAGAAAGAGGGATTAGAGAGGCGTGAGGGACTGCCGCGTAGCGCAGCCCAGTTATGGCTACGTCGCACCTCGGTAATTACTATACGGCGCGGCTGCGAGCGGCTGTCCGGGTATCAGTTGATACGGACCCACCTTTGAGAACTCAAATTTATGCAGTGTAACTCGTTCTTCATTTTCTGCTCCCAATACTTGATTTTCATTTCTTTTAAATAGCGTTTTCGCTCTTTGAGCTTCCGTTTTGCATCCAGTAATCGGCGTTTCTTTAAAAAATAATCGTTGTCCTCTTCGTACTTCCTGAAAAAATTGACCTACGTGTGATTATCAACCCAATTATTCAAATTACAGAAAAGGAACAAACTCAAACTAAAAACTTTTATGCTGATATAAACGCAAATAAGCTTGCCTTTTACACCACATCTCAAGTGAAGTTGGGTTACCAGCGGTGGATGGCAGTACTGATGGAGCGTTACCATGCGGTACTGCAGAAATACCTCGTATGTCCTCTCCAAGCAGATCCTGAATTTGAAACGAAATCCGCTTAAGAGAAACTAGTTTTTTGTACCGATTTCAAATTCTGGGGAAATTGAGCATGAATGCATAGTTTTCAGCGTGTAAGGTGGATAAAAGCCAAATGAAAGAGATAAAAGTGCTGCCATATATGCCAGAAAACGCTCATAAAATGAGATTAACTACCTAAGTCTTTCTGGAAGTATCCATTTTAATCAAACATGATGCATTTGGCTACGACTGATCAATTACCTCAGCTCTTGCAGACGGATTAATTTCAAACTCGGGATCCAGATAACCAGCTTCATCGAATGTAGCATCTGCGCGATGCATGAGGAATTCTTCGCGCAGTTTTCTTTCGAGAGGCCTGAGGTAGGATGGAAAGTGATACCTTTGCCCGGCAGTACCCTCACCCTGAAACGCTGTCAAAAGAATGGACAGTATACAATACAGTGAACACTTACGTTACTGCTTATATACTTTTTCGTGATCGTGAGGCATCTTTTGAGTTTGTCAGCCACTTGGAACGCAGTACGTTCGCAGAATCCCAGCTTTGTTATCTGTGCGGCCCAATCCTCATGCAACGTATCTTGAATGACTTTCAAACCGTGTTCAGGATCCAAATGATCTTTTCTTTAGTTTAGCTGAAACTCCCACGATTTCGACTTCAAAGCCGATATTTTTTACACTCATAATTATATCTTATATATAAAGCTGAATGTCTGTTTGTCTGT